ACATAATCCACTTGAAGCGATACTACTGCTAAGGTACGACCCCATTCATTTCCTTTTTGCTCATTTCTGAACTAACACTTGCATGTAACCAACAAGAAGTGATACATATCTTTAGGTCTGAAAGCACGCGTTGCACTCTTTTCCCCTTGAACCGGTTTTGTCCCAAATGGGTTTTCCGGCAAGGTTTTTAATGAGGCAATAATGGATCGTGCTAACTTAGAATAGAAGGCTGGTCATGAACCGGTGTCAAAGATTGCATCAATAGTATCTGAGGCTTCTCTCTATAATCAACCTCGAATACTGGGGGGCATTTCCCTCGGATATCGACTTTAGCAAGGAAAGAAGGTCTCGATAGATAAGATTTATTATAAGGTCCAAACGGTCAAATGAACTGTGCCCACATAGACTGCTCGAGCCCTAGCTCAAAGCATGTAAACATGTATAACTATTTTGCACAAGAATAAAGAGAAGTCTCTTCCTTGCAGATAAATATCTTGTCCTTTTTAAAATTTTTCTTGCATTTCTCAGGGAATTTCCTACATCCGATCCCCTAAAGGTACGAGCCCAAGGGCCACCTTAATCCAAGTTCGAACAATCACTCTCACTCTGGGACTACCATCCGAAAACAAACTTGGTTGGTTCGGGTTATCGGAACTGGGGGGCACAAGACCTATTAGGCAAAGCGCCCGAATTTTAATGGCTACGACCATCCCCACTCGGGGATTGTTATCCTAGATCTCGGATAACCGGGGTGACCAGCCAAGTGGGCAACACCCGAACAAAAAAGGCTACGGCCAAATTAAAATGGCTCGAAGACGTCCTAGACCGGTAACAAAAACAACAAGGCCTTAAAATTTATTAATCGGTTCTAAAAGCTACCCTCGGCAAATAATAATCTAAGAAAGTATAAGTACTTTGGGGGAAAAATTTCCGGGCACACCGAAACCCCACGATGCCTTAAAAATAAAATAATGTTGAAGGCAAGGCTTGTTCAAACCTCCGAACATAACCTAACTATTTCATGCCAAGGCATTTTAATCTTTGCAAATATAAATGACAAAGAAAAGAATTTAGAAATTGCTAAAGGGAAAAAGGGCTTTATATACATATCAAAAATTTCTTACAATAGCCAAAATGGCCTCGATGCAAATTCTTTACAGAGGCCAAACGACCTCAACCAAAGGGTAAAATGATTAGTAAAAAACAAAAAATATTTACAAAGAGCCTAAGTGGCCTAGTCTTCGCCAAGGGCTGCCTCGTCACCCTCGGGATCTCCTCCGCCTTCGGATTCGCTTAAACCCTCGGAGTCATCATCATCCTCGAGGCAAGCCAACCTTTTAGCCTCGACTTCGAGCTCCTTGGCACTTTCAATTTTGGCTAATAAGTCGAAACCTCGAGCGTGAATTTCCTCGAGAGCCTCTCTTCGAGATTGCCGCTTCACGTGCTCAATGATGTCTTTTGCTCAAAGCTGAGCCGCCTCGGCATCGGCCTTGTAAACGGCCACCATCTCGCCGAGATCAACTTTAATTACTTTAGCCTATCACTTGACCGTTTCAAGCTCCCTAGTCAGATCCTCTCGATCGGAGACGGCTAAATTTAACTGGGACTAGAGCTCCTCGATATTCTTGGCCTGAACCAAGGACTTCTCCTTTACAGCTCGAAGGCGGACCTCAGCCGAAGCCAATTGTGCCCGGGCGGTCTCCTTTTCTAAGGCCAGGCAGTCCATGTTCTTTTTCCATTCTTCGGCTTCGGCCTTCACCGCATCCACCTCTGCCTGGAGCTGTCCGATCTGGTCAAGCTTCTATTGGACCTGCGGGTTCGGGCCATTAGCCACCGTGTCTGACTTATCGTTACTAACCTCAAAAACTCTTCTTACCTGCTCAACCAGGTGGGCATGCTCCTTCCGAGCCGCCTCCAGGTGAGCTTGAAGTTTCTTGACCTTTATATCATGTTGCTCACTGAGAAGTTTGTAAATATCCATCTTCTCAATAAGATCTCGGGTCTCGGCCTCATGGTGGTTTAACTCCTCTCGATATCGGAGAAAAGTCTCGTGATGAAGCACCGAGGCCTACAAACACAAAGGAAAAGGTTACGATCATTTGACTTAATCTAAGTACACAACAAAAAAGTCGTCAAGAGGCATTCGAAGGTACCGGTTTAACGCATGTTGGGCTTCGTTGAAGAGGCAGGGTGCTTCCACCTTGTTCATCTTTGCTTGATCCTTTTCGGTCACCAGGCAAAGAAGATAACTTGCAACCCCCACGGGGGCAGAGAAGACCGGGGCATCCTACGAAATAGGAAGAATAATCGACTGCTTCCGGTCAGGATCTGCACTCGGAGCTGGGAACCGATTTACTAGTTTCGGGCTCGAAGAAGGCCCGCTGGTTCCAGAAGATGGACTCTTTTTTGGTACCGATAAGTCACCCAACCCGGTGACGTCTTCCGAAGCGGTAGAGTCTAAGCCGTCAAAAAAGTTGTGGAAAGGGTATGCCACCCTTTGGGGCCCCTCATTAGGGCGTCCTTTTAGCTTCTAGGCATCAAGGATCATGGAGTCAGTAAATGAGGGCTGCTCAGAGAGATCTATCACTCCAAGTGAATCCTTCGGGGCGTTATCCTCTACCCGAGAAGCATTAGCCGCAATCTCTTTGTCGGCCTCCCCAACTTGGGGCAAATCCGCCTCGCCGCTCACAAGACCGGAGGCCTCGGTCACTGCCTCCTCATCGGCCCCCTGATTCGAGGCAGTTCGATGTTGCCTCGCACACGGGCCACCAGTTCGGAAGCTTCTTCTTCTTCTTCGGACTCATCCCTCAGCCGGTGGATTGAGTCCGATGGGAGATATCGGGTGCTGGTACTTTCCTTGGATTTGCGCACCAGCCTCCTTTTCGATTTTTTCTTCTCCGAGTTCGGAGAACTCGGAGCCCTTCTCCTCTTTTCTCCTCACCCTGCCTCAAAGCAAGGGACTCGGCGGGGCACTCCTCGTTATTGGATGGAGGCCTCATGGCGATATCCTTGGAAAGGCCTGCAAAGAAAAAAGAAAAAAAGAAATGGGTAAGGACTCAGCAGCACAAAGGGAACCCAAGTTTTGTTCACTCAAGAAAGTAATCTCACCGTGAGAACGGGCCTCCCGGTGGCCATTCGAAAGTTCGCGCCATGCACGCTCGGAGTACGATTTCTGTGAGACAATGCCCTCGACCAACTCCTTTAGTCGAGGAACCGCATCCGAAACCCGAGCAACAGCTGCATCGACTCTAAACACTGATAAGAAAGGAGAAAAAGAGAGTAAAAATAAAATTCTGGGGAAAATGGAACTTTACTTACATTTTGTGTTCCATTCTTGGGGAACGGCATGTCCTTGGCCGGGATCAGCTCCGAGGTCCTCACTCGGACAAATCAGCCTATCCAACCTCGGTCTCGATCTTCATCGATGCTCGAGAATGGGCTTTAGTGGCCCGACATGCAAGTTTAATTAGTCCCCCCCCCCCCCCGAAAGAATCGGGGCTTGTATAGGCGCATCAAATGGTCAACGGTGAATGGGCATCCGTCAATCTTGCTCACGAAGAATCGGAGAAGAATGACTATCCTCTAAAACGAGGGGTGGATCTGACCAAGGCACACCTCGTACCTTTTACAGAATTGGATGATCACCGGGTCCAACGGACCCAACGTAAAGGGATAAGTGTAAACCCTTAAGTATCCCTTAATGTGGGAAGTGATATCTTCTTCGGGCCTAGGAACCGCCAAGTCCTTTCCGGCCCAGTTGTAGTCCTTTATGACTGTAGGGAGGGTCTCTTCAGTGATCGAGCAAATATACCTCGATACTTTCTCACCCTGGCCCGGAATGGGTGAATGTTTTTCAACTTTGAAGTCAGCGGTCACCAAGCACCTGCCAGGAATAAACTCCCTAAGAGGAGGTTCCGCCGGCCGGCCGTGATGAAGAAGCAGTTTCTTTTTTGAGGAACTGTCTTAGAAGTCTTCGCCATTTTTCTTTTGAATAAAGATGAAGGAGAGAAAGTTAAAAGGGTACACTTAATGGTTTGGAGTGAAGACAAGCGAGGGTTCTTACAAAGATCTCAAGAAATCTGGGTACAAGTGCTAGGAAACGCAAAGATTTTTAAGAACAAGAGTAGAGAAGTTTTGGATGTAAAGTTTGAATGAAGAAAGATGGGGGTATTTATAATTTTCAAACGACGGTTCAAAATCAGGAGTGACCGACCAGCAACTGACGAGCATTTAATGCCCTTAAGACGTGACTGACGAGATATTTCGTTCATTTTGTCGTTTCTGATGCAGAGTATCGAGGCATGAATCGGGGGCTCACATTGTTTCTCGTCGTTTACTCTCCAAAATACGAGGGGACTATCTGTATACTGTCGGAATCGGGCTCGTCTATTGCATGACAGATCGGGATTGAAACGTGATGGGTTGAAATCGACCCCGGGTTCTGTCGAATCAAGATACGAGGTGAGGATGCCCGTCCTCGACAATATCGGGTCCATGACCCTAGAATCGATCCTGACCCGAATGAGCTCGAGAAAACATTGCCAGATCGAATAACGGAAGGCGGAATATCCGTAACCGGTCGGGTATCACGACGGGAATCGCGGCACGTATCAATGAGAAATCGGCTAATTAGCAAATCATGGAATTTTTTACCTTATATAGAATTGTACCTAAAATAGGACTCCCCTACTATATAAAGGGGGTCTGATTATTTGTAAAACACATTGTAACACGCATCCAAAAGGAATATACCATTGTTTTCTCTTGAAAGTTCTTGTTCAACTGGTGCTTCACTTCCCAAAGCTGACACTGTTCAATTCGTATGGTTTGAATTTACTTTATCATACTTTATTTCCATTACAATTCAATTTATCGCTTTGTATCAATTTAATCCACGTATCCTTAAAATCACTTACAAATTCAATTGTTATCCGATTTTGAGGGTAAACAAATACTCAAGATACTAATATCTATTTTTTTCACCAAGATACAAATATGTAATTAGCCACCATTAATAATTATCAATATTTTTAATAAATATTTATTACGAAAAGAAGAAAAGACATGCTTCTATTGAAATCCAAATAAAAGACACCAAATTCCTGGTAGTCTTATCAGCAAAGAGCGGGTAGTACCAACTCTGTAATTGCCTCAGTTCACTTTCCTTCTCATCCCTCATCTCCATGGAAGCCTCCACCGGACCTCCACGTTTTCCCTCTCCGTCATCGTCACCGTCAATAAACGTCGACAAGTTAAAACAAAAGCTCCTGCAAAACGGCGTCGACCCAACTCCCAAAATTATCCACACTCTCCGCAAAAAGCAACTTCAAAAATTCAACCGACGCCTCGCCAAAAAAGCCGCTAAAGAACCCGAGCCACTCACGGAAACCCAAACACAAGCCCTTACCGAAGAATCATATTTCCAGGCCGTTAAGTCAGAGTACAAAAGCTTCAAGAAAGAGGTGAATGCCAAAAATGATGGGAAAATGGTGGGAAGGCCTTGGGAGAGAATTGAGAAACTCAAATTGCAAGAGCTTTCTAGTGAGAGTAAAGTGTATTCTGGTGATAAATTGAATTCTGAGCATCTTTGGGAGCTCAGTGATATAATTGAGAGGGAAAGAGATAAATTCTCATGGCTTTTGGATAATGATGTTGAAATTAAACAAGGATGGTTCGATAATGAAAGGGATAACTGGACCTATACACGACGTCGTAGAGGCGAAGCTGAGACTATTCGTTTTATTATTGACAGGTGCGTGAACCCCAACTAATTTGAAATTGTTAGAAATAGAATTTTATTTATGGTGAATGTCTATATTTAGAGAGATTCTAGGGTTCATTACTTGGTGGCTAAGTCACCCTCTCCCTATAAATAGAGGGTTCTATTCTATTGTAATTCATCCAATATCAATAAGAATTCTCTCTACCTACTTTTCTCTGCAATACTCTTCTTCTTCTTTTATTATTTCATAACACGTTATCAGCACGAGACTCTAACTAATTGAGTAGAAGCTTTGGGATTAATCATAATGATTGTCAATTGTTCTATGAATTTCCTTCATGATTAAATTCTGGATTTAAGGTATGTATATTTCCGTATTTTTCTCTTTTATTCTGTAATTTAATTTTAAATACAAGCAAAGACAATAAATTTTGATTACATCTCTAATGGAGTTTGTAAGAAATTATAACCACCTGAAGTGGTAAAATTTCTACGTCTCGCCATGATCAAATTCATGTATGATTGTGGGCAAAGAATTGAAAACTCGTCCCATTGAATTTGCTCCATTCTCATTCCCTTAAGATAATGTGATGGCAGTATGTGATAAGTCTGAAAGAAGACAAAATTATTACTATGAATGTATCAATGGATGTGGACGTGGCAATAGACGAAATTATAATCGTCATCATTGTGATAATGAGAACAACAAGGATTCTCAAAATAATCCTTCACTCTGTGAAAGTAATATTTGTCATCGATTTGACATGATATTTTATAAAGCACATATAGATGATTATGGTCCATTCATGATGTGAATATGAAAACATTTGATTTATGAATACATATTCATTCTTGGAAGAATATGAATGTGCTAGTGGTAGTGAATATACCACACTCACCTCTAAAAGGAGGTTTGAGATGATATAAGAAAATAATGTCATTATTATGGCATGAATGGTCATTGGTCACGTACCTATTGTACGCCAAAATATTTTGGCATTGTGATTGTTAAAAGACAACGGTAATGCAACAAACAGATCTTGCATATAATTTTGACCATAACCATAATGGTATAACTTTCTCTTTAAAAGAGATATTCACCATATGGATGTTAATGAATATGTGGTATTACAAAATTAATTGAGAACTCTGCAAGAGCCAATTATACTATTTTGGA